AGAACGTTTTGATCATGATGATGATGATGACCATGATGATCATAAAGATGATGCTGCTGTTGATGATGATTCGGCTGATGATTCGCATGATGATGATGATGATGATGAAGATGATGATGATGAGATTGTGGAGGATGATTCGGATGATGATGATGATGAAGTTGATGATGATAATGAGGATGATGATCATGATGACGATTTCTAGGAGGTTGATGATTATGATGATCGTGATGATGATGATTGGGAAGATGGTGATGGTGATGTTGAAGATGATGATGAAGATGATGATCTTGATCGTGTTGTTGATGATGTTGTTTGTGATGACGATGATTTGGATTAAGAGAATGACGATGATGATAATGAAGATTATTCGGATGATGATGATGATGATATTGATGACGATAATGAGGATGTTGATGATGATGGTGATGATGACTCCGATGCTGATTATGATGATGATCCTGATGATGATGATTCGGAAGATGATGATGATGATGATGCTCTTGATCTTGGTGATGATGATGGTGATTCTGATGACGATGATTTGGATAAGGATAATGATGATGATGATGATAATCAAGATGATTCGGATCATGATGATGATGATGATGAAGATTATGATGATGATGATGATGATGATGATGATGATGACGATGATGCTGATTTTGATGTTGATGTTGACGATGACCCTGATGACGATGATTCGGATAATGATAATGAAGATGATGATGTATTTCATGAGGATGATGCTGATATTTTTGATGTTCACGCTGATGATGATGATGAAGATGATGATGATGAGGATGATGATGATGATGATGATTATAATAATTCGGATGATGATGATGTTGATGATGATGATGGTGATGATGTCGAATGTGATGAAGTTGATGATGATGACGTTGATGACGATGGTGTTAATGAAGATGATGAACTTTCTGTTGACGATGTTGACGATCATAATGATGATGATTTCGGTGAGGAACCTGAGGATGAACATGATGATGATGACACTGATGACGATGATGATGACGCTGTTGATGTTGATGACGATGATGATATTGAAGACGATGCCAATGATGATGATGATTCGGATGATGATTCGGATGATGATCGCGATGATGAAGATGATGCTGCTGATGATAATTCGGATGATGATGGTGATTATGATATTGGTGATGCCCAATAGCATGATGATGATGATCATGATGACGATGATAGGGATTATGATGATGATGATGATGACGATGATGATCATGATAATGATGATGATAATGATTATGATGATGATGATGAAGATGATGGTGATTGGTATGATCGTGATGGTGCTGATGATGATGATGATGATGATGATGATTATGATGATGAGGATGATGATGATGAAGATGATGATGAAGATGATGATTAGAATTTTAAATATGGTGGCAATGATGATGATGATGATGTCGAAGAGGTTGATGTTCATGATGATGATGTTGACGATCATGATCATGATGTTGAAAATGACGTTGATGATTATGTAGATGATGATGATGATGATGATGATGATGATGATGATGATGGTGATGATAATTCGGATGATGATAATGATGATGATGAATTTGATTCGAATGATGATGTTGTTGATG